GAAGGTCGAAGCCTGGATTTAAGCAGTGGGTTAGTGGTGACTTCATTAAACAAATCATCAATATCCTCCTCCTAGAACACTTTATGCACTACTTTCATTCTCCAGATGAGTGCTGCTGCTTTCATTTGGACATCAAAACACTAAAGGTCATGAGAATCAAGGTGCTTTTACACAATGAGAACTCATTCACCCTCCAGACTGTAGCTTCAGAGGCACGACCCAAAAAACATCCGTTTGTGAATTCTGGTTGGTATTCCATGACCACAGAAGAAGAAATTTTCAACTCTACCAGAGTAATTGTTCTTAATAATTACATAGTATTTGCACACCAGCCTACCTGTTGCGTGTGCTGAGAAGCGCAGCACACTGAGAGGACCATAAATCAACCTGCGCATGTGTTATTTGGGTTGGCATCTTCATCTCCCCAGAACACAGAACTCTTCAGAATCAAGATGACAGTGTAAAAGGTGTGTCCCTCCAGCTCTTGGAAGGACGGATGCAAATACATAACCTCTGAGTTCCTCCCTGTCAATGTTTGGTTGTTGTTTGTCTTTTTTAAAATACTTTAATATGTTCTTAAGTGCTACAGCTTCCTAATGGAAAAAATATGTTTTAATAAATAGATACTCAAGCATGAGACTGTCTTTCCGCTCTGACAATTGATATGTTAGTGTGTAAATCTGCTCTCTGGCTTTTATAAGTCTCATCCTTAATATGCAAAGTTCTCTGGTTCTTTTTTGTTCAGGCCCCGGCTATTCTACATGTGGAGGAAGAGCCGCAGTAAACCTCAGAGTGGCCTATGTGTGCAGTTTCTTACTTTCTTTTTGGCAGTGGCACAGCTGCATTAGTTGTAGGAATATAAGCTTGATGGTAGATTGGGCACAGACATGTTTACTGCCGTGTCGTTTACCGCTCTAAGTAGCGTGCTGATTAAAAGGCATGTGTTTGCTATTAAGCTGTTAGCAACATTAGTGCAGCAATGTATTTTTCAGCACCCATTGACAAACAGGCAAGTGGCTTGCTGGTGGAACTGTAGCCGTCAGCCTGCCACAAAACCCCCGGATGTGTCTCTCTTGGCGGGTGGAATTAAACTGCATTTGGGACCCTCTGTTCTTCAGCTGTTCAGACCCGTTCATCTGCTACTTAATGCCATGCTGAGGCAACACGAGCACGTCTTAAAAGCCTGAGAGTAGATGGAAACACAGGATGGTGAGCAAAACCTTCTGTCTTGTCCCACAGCGTGTCCTTCAAGGTGTTGGTGGCTGTCACCTGATGAGAGCTTTGCCTAGACAGAGCAAAATTATCGCTGGGCCATTACAAATTTTTGTTGGCGGACAAGAAATGTCTTACAAGAACAAAGGAGATGAAAGCCTGTTCCTATTGATGTCTGATGGTGATTTCGGCAGTACTGGGATTGTGGTCTTCAACTGAAATGGGTTTTGAATACTAGTGAAGGCTCCTGGCCATGCAGGTGAAAATAAGCCATACTTACACTACAAAATACGATAAAATTAAGCAGGTTTGTGGACAGACCATAACAGTTTTTTAAAAGCTGGCTAGAAATGCTAAGTGTAGCGTTGTAGCGTTTTGACACGGCGTATACCAAATTTATGAGTGCTGCAGTAATTAATCTCCTTAGGTCTCTAGTATGTTGTGCTTGTGGCTCTGCATTTTTTTGTCAGGAATTATTCTAGTATGTTGAAATCTCTTTCATAAGTGCACACACCCAGGTACACCACATTTTCTTTAAAAAATTAAAAAAAAAAAACAAACAACAAACTGTTCCTTCAGAATTTTCTTTAATCTCCTTCAATAAATTTATGCATGTCACATCTGAAGGGTAAAGCCCAGAAGCTTTTAAAAATTGCAAGAAATGTCTTTGGATTTTTTTCATTATTTTTTTTTTCTTTTTTCAGTAATCTACTATGGCAACATGAGAATATCCTAAAAATGTGAGGTTGCAGTACAGTGGCTTGAGATGGGTGTTCCTGAGCCTTCTGACAGCAGTGACATCAGGGAAGCTGCGGCAGGTTTCCCACCAGGATTGCCACCAGGATTCCCAGGTTTTTCCGGGTCTGCCTACCACCCCTGCCATAAAAAGCAGTTTTGTCCGTGCGCCCAGAAGTCAGTGCTCGGGTGTTGTGTGAGTAGTTAGCAAGCAGAAACGATGCTGCCAGGTGTTTATTCCCAGAAAAAATAATTACAAAACCCCACTGAGTCATGGGTTTAATCCAAACCAGAGGCAGCTCCCCTGCCATGGGAATCCCGAGGTTCATGTCAGAGAAATGGAAGGCTTAAACCTGTTGTGTTTTGGTTTTTTTTTTTTTTTCTTTTGTCAGTCTATGGACTGGAGTTCTTTGGTTAACTCCTACCTCGTTATATAATGTTGACTTTTTAATGTCGGGAACAGTTTTTATCGAATTTTAAAAGAAAGCTGTTGACATATTTTAATTGTTAATTGTTGAGCTACAATAGTTATTCGCAGCTAAAACTAAAAATAGCCCTGTCATATTTTTTTTTACAGAACAAAGTTTTCCTTCTTTACCCATTACGATTATTTCAATTAATTACTTAAATTAATGGCTGTATAAGCGAATACCTCAGGCAGTTACATTCTGAAGGGAGTTCAGCTGTATTTTAAGCAAGATCCCTTGTAATTTCAGAGGCTGCAAGGCACAGTTGGGGATAAATTCTTATTTTGATGGGGAATCATGTCTCAGTGTGTCCTGCAATACCTTTCCGCCTCCGTGCCGCTCTCTTCTGCCTGTGTTCTCTGTGGGCCGC